GACCCGGGAGGTGGGAAAGTGGCCGGCTGTGGAGATGACTGGGGGACCATGGATTGACAGTTGCTGTGCTGGTGACAGGTACACACTGAGTTTAGTGCACAGGTTTTCCATTTCTGTAGATGTTTGAATCTCCCATTACAAAATGTGTTCCTTAAAAAAGTATGAAAGGAGGGGCGCCTGGGTGGCTCAGTGGGTTAAGCCTCTGCCTTCGGTTCAGGTCATGATCTCAGGGTCCTGGGATCGAGCCCCACATCGGGCTCTCTGCTCAGCAGGGAGCCTGCTTCCCCCTCTCCCTCTGCCTGCCTCTCTGCCTACTTGTGATATCTCTCTATGTCAAATAAATAAATAAAATCTTAAAAAAAAAAAAGTATGAAGGGAGAAAGTTGATTCTCCAGAATTAAGTTAAAAAATAAGTGACACAAAATGATTATGTCAAAAAAGGAAGACATGAGCGTTCTAATGGGCTGACTGCCCCGTTAACAAACATCCGGCCTCAAGAAAGCTGGGTGCATCCAGACTGACGGAGACTGGAGGGTCTGCAGGCTCCCGAGCTGTGTCAGGTATGGGGGCTGCTGGCCACAGAGGCCATTTGAATTAAAATTAAAACTAAATCACATAAAAAATTCCATTTTCCAACCATACTAGCCACACATGCCCAGCGACTACTATATGGAATTGTGCAGACACAAAGCATGCCCCCCTGTTCTGGAAAGTTTGACTGGACATTCGTGTGGCAGAGATCAAGCCGGGGACACAGACCCTGTCTCTCCCCAGTGTAGGGAGCCGTATGCTGACCCTGATGGAACAAGCGTACCTGGCTCTTTTTCTCCTTCTGTTCTAAGATTTTCTGCAGCGTTTTCCGCTCTTTCTTGGTCAGAGGCTTCTTCTCCTTCTTTGACAGTGGAGGGGCTTTGGGCTTCTTTTTCTTCTTTCCCGGCAAAACAAGTGCGTTGCTTGCATCAACTCCTTTCAACGTGTCTTTATCTGGAAAGACATACATGCCTGAACCCCCAGCCCAGGGACCAGAGACCACAGAGGCCTGCGGTCCTCCAGGGTCAACGTTAATGCCATGTTCTCTGGGGGGGGCTCTGTGTCTCCTCTCATGGGCACCCCCTGTCCCATGTGTGATCCCCCCAATGCCCACACAGGAATGGGGGTGCAGGCCCGTCACCGTTCCCTCAACTTGTCTGCCCAGCACCCACCACACGTCAGACGCCACGGTGAGTGAGAGCACCTCGTCATGGTGGTCAGGGGAGGGCAGCGAGGGAAACTGCTGCAACAGTGCTCCCCTCAAAACGGGGTCGTGCTTTCTGTGGACGTGGGGTCAAAACTATTTCCATAATACTACAACATTATCCAAAGCCTCTGCTGGGCACTAAATGCTGAGTTCAAGCCATAGCTACTTTTTTTTTTAAAAGATTTTATTTATTTATTTGACAGGTCGGCAGAGAGGCAGGCAGCAGGTTCCCTGCCGAGCTGAGAGCCTGACACGGGGCTCGAGCCCAGGACCTTGAGACCATGACCCGAGCCCAAGGCAGGCTTAACCCACTGAGCCACCCAGGCGACCCCGTATCTACTTTTCAATGTCATAGTTTGAAAGTACCCAATCTAGACCCCAATTCAGCTACCCTATTACTCAACCTGTGGCAGCCCGTTAGGGAGCACCTGTCCTGCCTGCCATCTAAGGCTGCAGCTGCCACCCCAGGGCTCTGTGTGGGCTACGTCTGACTCCCACTAGCTCTGCCCGCCAGCTTTCAAGAGTGAAAGAAGCTGTGTCTCCTCCCACAAGCATCTGAGCTCCGCAGCGCGGAGATTTAAAAAACAGAAAGAACTCTCCTGTTATGTCCCCTACAACAAACAAATCATGGCACACAGTGGGCGCTCCTATCAACAGGGAGGAATCTAAGCAGAAATGTCTGGGCTGAAAAAAACTCATTCGGGGGTCACTGGCAAGGAGATTCTAATAGAAGCCAGAGAAAGAGATGGGATTGCTTCATTTTCCTGCCCACATTCCCCATGTGACTAAACTAGGGCTTAGGGCTCCTGGCTGGCTCAGTCGGAAGAGCGGGGGACTCTTGATGTCAGAGTTCGAGCCCCACGTGGGGCGTCGAGAGGACGTAAATAAAACTTAAAAACTAGTGCCGGACTCCATAGGGGAGAAAGCCTTGGGATTGTCCCAAATTCACCGTTACAATTAGACTGTCACGGTGTCCCCCTCTGTGGATCATCTGAGAGGGGGTTCCTCCTAGTCCCCCGCCCCAAAGTCTCGGAGGCAGGACGCAGGCCAGCCCGGGCCCAGCGTCCGGCCCGGACGCCTTACCCTCTAGTTCCAGCCGCACGGGGGGCGGCTCCGGGGGGCCCTTCGAGGGGCCGGGGGTCGCCTGCAGGCGCCCCTTGACGTTGTAGCGTCGGCGCAGCTTCCCCATAGCGCCCAGTACCGCTCGGGTTCCGGCGGGCAGGTACAGAAACAGCCCCGAAGCCCAGCCCACGTGGGCTCCCAGACCCTAGGCTCAGGCCGCGAGACTTCCGGGCTGCGTTCTCGCGAGAGCTGAGGATAACCGAGCCTGGGGGCGGGTCTAGGGGCGGGGCCTGTGGAAAGGCGGGCGGGGCCTGTGGAAAGGCGGGCGGGGCCAATTTAGAAGCGGGAGCGAAGCCTGAGGTCGCCTTAGAGACCTGAGTTTAAGCCCTGAGTGCTTCGCGCCTGGTGTGGCTGAGTCTCTAAATCTGTTATTTGCTAATACTAATTTGGGATTGGGACTGTTTAGTCGCCTTTTAAAATATAACCCCCCCTGCAAACTTCTTCCCTTTTGTTTTTGCTCATCTGCACTTTCTGATATTCCTGTAAGAGACGTAATTAGTTGTGTAGTGAAAAGGCACAAATGTTTCCATTACAGGGCAGAAGCACTAAGAGAAGAAAGCATCCATTAGGCAGCTTTAAACTCTCATTACCCCATCACATTATCTGCAGCGCACTCGGAAATAATGTATTTTCTGGATCCTGTAATTATCTTGCATATAGAACAGTTATAGTGGCTTTTTTTTTCTGTTAAAATCGTTCATTTGTTAAGGGCAGACATTTAAAATATATTATGGGGGGGGAGGCACTAGGGTTTATTTTGGAATTTTAAAAGGAACCTAGAAGGAGATCTGGCTGCAGAGTAGATAAGCAGTAAGTTATTGAATGTAGGAATGAATGAATGAATGAATGAATGAACGGAGAGTGTGATTACATAAGCTTCCCTCCTGCCCCCCAAAAGAAAAGCAAAAACAAAATGACATACGTGCACACACACAGGTGGTGCATGAGGGGACGTAGGTAGTGTATGTGTGAACATATTTATAAAGTTATATATTAATTTAAATGGATTTTGGGGGGAAAAGAATAATTAACATAGCAAACCTCTGGTTTTGTGGGTTTGATAGCTTAGAATGATAGTGGTCTGCAGTTTTCCCTTAAATATCTCTAAGTAAATAAAAAGCGTGTCCATTTTAAAGCTAAGTAGGTAATAATACATTCTCCTGTGTTTTCTAAAATATTAAATACCAAAGGATTATCTCCAGAAAATATAATGAAAAAGACCTATACCCAACAACATAGCTCTCATAAATATGTTGAAAAAGGAGACCAATCACAGAAAAGCATACTCTGTGATCCCATATACATCAAGTTCAAAACAGGCAAAATAAATTCCCTAAATTTTGGAGGGGAAATAGTGAGTGGCAGAGGACAAAGGGAGCTTTCCCGGGAAGCTGGTAATGGTCTGGGTGCTGGTTACCTTCGTGTGTTGTTTGTTTAAATTCATAAAAAAGCACCTTATGATTTGGGTGTTTTTCTGTTTGTACGCTATACCTCAGGAAAAAAGTTTTCCTAAAAAATAAGAACTTAATGTGGCCAATTAATATGCAAAAATGTCACCAGGAATCCAGAGAAAGGTAAGTTGAAAAATAAGATACAATGTTTCACTTTAGGCTTGGCAAAGGTTAAGTTTTATTTTCCTGACTGTCTCAAAAATAATGTGTGGTTGGACACAGTTTGTTTCAGGCCCTTCTGCCGCATTTGGTTAATGATGGCCCTTCAGTAAAATCAGTCACCCTCCTACCCTTTTATACCATTTAGTTATTGAAGAAACTGGGTCGTTTGCCCCGTAGAATGCTCCACATTCTGGATTTCGCTCAAGGCTTCTTCTCATTTTCTCCTCCAACCCCCATATTTCCTGCAAACTGTAGGTTAGATGGAGAGGTCAGATCCGGTGAGGGTTCAAAGTGTTTTGGCAAGAATCCATCCTAAGTGGGGCAGGTGACTTCCTGCTACTAGGGCCGGGCGCGCCCAGGTCAGGACGGCGTGGCCTCTCCATTTTCAAGTTCTGCCGCGACCAGTCAGCCCCCTTCTGGGTTTCAGCCTCCTGCTGCATCCATCATTTCACTAACGGGGTGCGACGTGATTTTCTAACACTCTCGCGCCCTCCTTTTGAACCAGCTGGACTTAATCTTCCGAAAACTTCCCCTCCTCGCCTGTTTTGTGACGCTGAATTACAGCTCGCTCAGGAGGGGCAGGAGGGATATCCGCTCGCTGCTTCCCCTTTCAAAAATTTCAGAATGGATTAATGGATGAGCCGGAGCCCTTGCCATCGCCAACGGTGGCCGAGGATTGGGGATCGTTATCAACTCAGTGACATGTTTGTATCTGGTTCTCCAATCAATGGCGGTCATGATCCTCGCTGAGGCCGTTGCCAAGTTTTACCTGCACCGGCCGCTTTTTACCGAAAAGTTAAACATTAAAATTGGTATTTTTTAAATAAAAGGTTGCCCCCCCACCCCCCACTCAGCGGGGGCGGGGAGACCGAGCAGCCTCCGGCCTCCGCCGCCCCTCGCGCGGACGTTGGCGGGTGGACCGCCGGGACCCCGCGTCCGGGGGGCGGGGCCAGGCGTGGGCAGGGCCGTCGCGGCTCGGCGCGCGGGGCGGGGCGGGTGGCGCTGCGACAGCGGCGGCGGCGGCTGACAGAGGCGCGGCGGGCGGCCCCACCAGCGCGCCAACGCGGTCCCCCCGCCCGAGCCGCGGCGTCCCCGGTGCGGCCCTCAGCCCGGCTCCCGACCCCACATCCCGCCGGCCCCAGGATGGGCGCGCGCGCCTCTTGCGGGCCCCGGGCCCGGGCTGGGCTCCTGCTGCTGCTGCCGCTGCTGCTGCTCGGGCTGCTGGCCCCGGGCGCGCAGGGGGCGCGGGGCCGCGGCGGCACCGAGAAGAACAGCTTCCGCCGCGCGGTCAACACCTTCTCGCAGAGCGTCAGCAGCCTGTTCGGCGAGGACAACGTGCGCGCCGCTCAGAAGGTGGGCGCCGGGCTCGAGCCTGCGGTCACCTTGCCCCGGCCGCCGCGCACCTGGCGCCCGGGGCCGGCCTGGGCCGTGTGCGGCCTCCGAGGCTGCCGGTCGGCGGGGAGAGGGGAGAGGGGAAGGCCGGCCTGCGCCCGGGGGCCTGCCTCCTGCGGGCGCGTCGCCCCCGCGCCAGGCCGTGGTCGGAACCGGCCGCGGGAGCTCGCGCGCGACCGGGACGCAGGGCCTCGGGCGCCCTCTGCTCTGCGCCTCGTACTTCTCCTTGGACCTTGCCCGCCAGCCCAGCGGGCGGGCAGTCGGGCCGCGCTAATGCCGGCCGCGCCTCTCATTCATTCGTTCAGCGCGTTTGAATGAGCACCTACTATGAGCCAGGCGCCGCGCGGCTGCCCCGGGGCGTCCTGCCCTGTCCCCAGCAACCCGCCTTTCTGCTAGCCTCACACCGACCCACTTCCCTTGAGCACCTTAGGCCCTCCTCCTAATGCTTTGAAGACATTTAGGCCCCTTCCTTCCTTTCTCTTTCTTTCTTTCCTTCCTTCCTCCAACCTTCCTTTCTCTCTTTTCCTTCCTGCCATCCTTCCTTCCTTCCTTCCTTCCTTTATCTTCCTTCCTTCCTCTTTCTTTCTTTCTTTCTTTCTTTCTTTCTCTCGACTTCGCAGGGAAAGAAAGGGGAGTAGAAGCCTGCTATGTCGCTTCGGCAACCTGGCCCAGTAACCCTCCTGAGCTCCTACTTCTGCCGCCCCTTGATTTGGAGCGTTTTTTACTCTGGAACTTTCAGCAACCTGCAGCTCTCCTGTGTGTTGAGCGCCCAGGAGGAGCGTGGGAACTTCTCCCCATGCCCTGCTCTGCCCTCTGGAGCCTTGTGGGAGGGCTTCATTTGGGCAAGTGCCCGTAGAAAGGGGAAGTGAATGAGGGACAGTTGCATGTGGTAATGTGGTTCCTTGAGCGCAGCCCTTGCTGTTCCTCCTGTTAACTTCTTTACTCTAGGCTAGCCCTGGGGTTTGGGAACTCAAGTTCTGGCTCTAGCGCTTACCTGCCGGCTGGCCTTGCACAAGTGGCTTCATGTCTTTGAGCTTCAGTTTCTTTATCCTTAAAAGGGGCTAATCATAATATCCCCTTCGTTATGAGGTGGGGATGATGAATCGTTGGTGTTCTTCCCGGCCCAGAGTAATGGCTAAATCCGTACCTGCTACATTCTGGCCAAGGTGCAAATCCACATTGCTTTAGTCCTGCTGGAAGGACTTTCAGGGTGAAAAAAAATTCTCTGGTGCTTGACATGCAGGGGAAAAAAAAAATTAAAACCCAGATCAGATTGGCTGGATATTCTTATTGGGTGAAATGAAAAGATTAGTTTAGTAGGAAAATGGTGACTTCTGACCGCCGGCCCTCTCCCGTGGGTGTGCAGACACTCCTTGTGGAGGTCGTGGGTTCTGTGGCGGAGAAGATCGCCTTGTGGGAGGCATGACCCAACACCTGAGAGCAAAAAGATTCCCAGCCTGTCTGCCTGAGCATAAAGGGTGTGAGCAAGGTGCCGTTGTTCTTGAATGATTCGAAGGCAAAGATCTTTTGTTTTGGAGCCAAAATTTTGAAAGTCTGGCTTGTGTTGGTGGGAGCACAGGCAAGTTACGTTTCAGGAGGTGGTCCTAGGTGAGAATCTAAGTTCGATGGGCATGAAATACAAAATGATATTTCAGGGCCTCACCTCTGGGTTGGGATCAATAACACAGGTCTATTCTCGCAAAGAACCTGGGACTCTCAAGGTCAGAATTCTTTCTGGGGTAAAACAGGGTTTGTGCCTTCAATAGGGATGATACAAATTTGTTATTTGCTTGAAATGTGCTGAGTGCTTTTGCAGATAGAGTAACTCCATTCTTAGAACAATGCTGTGAGTGGGTACTGTTAATATGTTCATTTTGTAGTAGGGAAACTGAGGCACAGAGTGGTGACATGCGTGTCTTCAAGTCAAACCGAGTGGCCGAGCCGGGAATTGAACCCAGGCAGACTGGGCCCAGAGTCGGCACTGATACCTTCCTTCCCAGGTCTTCCTGCCTCATGACCCTTTCTGGTTCCCCCCCATCAGAACAGCCTCTAAAATGAGGCTGACCTGACATTTCCTGTGGAGTGTAGCCCAGACTGGCCAGGCTTGGGGGAGACTGTTTTGTTATTCTTAATTAAACAAAAACTGGGTCTGCTGGCAACTGTAGTTTTCAGCATGTCTGGGGTTACTAATTGGAGCCAGACCGGCTTGGTGGGTTGTGAAGTTTGAGGGTGTTTAAAGACACACCCCGTATTCTAATCTAGGCCGTGTCTAAAATAAACCCATGATGTTCTGGTTTGGAGCGACGGGCCTCGCTGTCCCACAGACGTGGGTCGGAATCCCTAGCTCTGTGATCTCGGGCCAGTTGTTTGACCTCTCCGTCTCATTTGTTCAGAGGAGATGAACTCAAGGGTTGAGTGCAATGAGCAAGGCCATACGAAGTACTGAATAACCATTTAGTGAATGATAGAAGATATTTATAGGAAGTGGGTTCATCCGGTAGGAGAGCAATCGACTCATTTATTTTTTTATTAAGCAACTTGTCTGTGAATGTTCATAGCAGTGCTTTGCACATCAGCCAAAAAGTGGAAATAGCCCAAATGTTTATCAGCTGATAATGGACACACCGTGGTCTGTGCAAGCAGGGAATACTATCCAGCCATAAAAAGGAATAAAGCACTTGGATGAAACTTGAAAAACAAAGGAAAGAAGCCAGACACCAAAGGCCACGTGTTGTAAGATTCCATTTGTTTAAAGTATCCAGAACAGGCAAATCCGTAGAGACCGAAAGTAGATAAAAAGTTTCCTAAAGGGGGGCGGGTGGGATAGGGAGTGAGCTCTTAATTGATAGGGGGTTTCTTTCTGGGGCAATGAAAATGTTCTGGAGCTAGGTAGAGATTGTGGTTGCACACTGTTGTGAGTGTACTAAATGCCCCTGAATTGTACACTTTAAAATGGTTCATTTTATGCTATGTGTCTCTTACAACAATTGTTTAAAATTTCTTAAGCACCTACAGTATGAGCCAGACATAATGGCCCCTCCTGCGGACCTTTCAGGGGACAGGCAATAGATAAGTCTGATCCATAAAACAAGATTATTTCAGAGTGGTAAGTGCTGTTTCAGAAATAAGGGAAGAGGATGTAATCATATTGAAGAAGAATCTTTGTTCAAGCTTAGGATGGATCTGCCGTGCTCTAAGAGAGAGGCTCTGTTATGGTCTTCCCTGTTTTACAGATGAGGACAGCAAAGGCATGGAAAGGTTGACTCTTTTGTCCCCAGTCCAGCTAATCAGTGGGAGAGGACTGGGAGTGCCCATACTTGTAACCTCTGCAGAACTGGAAGTTAAGTGGAATAGAGTGGCCAGGGAAGTAAGCTGAATGAGAAGGAGGTAGAGGGAGAGAGCATGCCAGGCAAAGGGAGCAGCATGAGCAAAGGCCCTGCGGTGGGAATGGGTTTGGTGTATAAGGACAAGGGAGGGCTGGTTGTAGGGCTGTGACAGACTGAGCAAGGGACAGAGGGAGACAGCCACGTCATGCAGGACCTAGGGTTAGGGTCAACAAAACAGGCTCAACAGTGATGCAAGAAAGGCCTTGTGGGAGCCAGGAGAAAAGGGTCAGGTGCCTTGCCAGGAGACATTGGGCAGGATATGGAGGGAGGGGCACGAGATGGGTCTGGGAAGATGGGTTGGCATGGAAGGAAAGGGGTGGGACAAGGTTGATGAGGTACGGTTCACAGGTTGGGTGCATTAGGGTGTGGATCTTGGGGAGCACAGGGAAAAATTACAGCTGGACCCACGTGGTGGGAACATCTGAATGCTAAGCTGAGAGCTGGTGTTTCTTTCTTACTCCTTTGCTTTTTAGTTAGTTTTTTTTTTTTTTTAAGAAGCTTAACATTTATAGTTTTTTTTTCTTTTTAATAAGGTCGCAGTTGCATGGAATGCCATTTCAAATAGTTCAAAGTTAAAAAAAAGAAATCTGCTTGCCACCTCTGACCCTATCTCCATTCTCCTTCCCAGAGCAGTACGGATATTCTGAATATGGATAGATCCTGCCTCTTCATGAGTTTTCTGTTTTTCATTATACATGCTGTCCCACTCTCTTCTCCTTCTTTTCCCTCCTCTTCCTTCCTCTTCTTTTTTTAATTAATAAATTTTGGAGACCAGATCCTATTGGTACATAAAGCTTTGATTCCTTCTTTTTGGAGGGCTGCCAAAAGCAAACTATTATTCAGAATGTACCCTTATTTAACCCACCCGATAGTCAGTATTTTGTTAGCGTCCCGTCTTTTGCCCCTGCATGCCTGGCTGCAGTGACGGTCTCCCTAGGAAGATTGTTGTATGTGCACATAGACAAATTCACCTACAGACCGTTAGACAGCAGACTCCAAGGGTCTGTGCATTTACAAATTTTTAAATTGAATCCTAGTACTTTCCTGCATGAGAAGTGTGAAGCACAGTGAATCCTTGTACCCTGAAGATATCCGTGTCACGAGCACGCGGGTCTAGAAATGGATTGTCCCAGGCTCTCTGCGCCCCTCCAGCCCAAGTCAACCATTCTCCTGCCTTTGGCAACATAGTTTTGTCTTTTGTCTTTACACACAGTTCTAATTCCATACACGCTTTTTAAAAATAATATTTTATTTATTTATTTGAAATAGAGAGCCATGAGCAGGGGGAAAGGGAGAAATAGATTCCCCACTGAGCAGGGAGCCCAATGTGGGGCTCGATCCCAGGACTCCAGGATCATGACCTGAGCTGACGGCAGACTCCTAACCGACTAAGCCGCCCCAATGCCACATACACACTTTTAACACCGAGAGAGACTGCTAGATTGTTTTCCAAAGAATGACAAGTTTCCACTCCTACCAAACATATGAAGGCAGGCTTCCAAACCTTCTCCAGCAAAGTGTGTTGTTAAATTTTTGGTTTTATTATGTTTGAGATGATGGTTTCTTCACTGATTC